TAATTATCTTGTCTTAACTTGATCATCTGCAAGGACCTTATTTCCAGTAAGGTCACATTCACAGAAACTAGGGGTTAAAACTTCATCTTTTTGGGGGACACAATTTAGCGCATGACAGGTGGGTTGGGGTTATATTTCAAAGAGTGTTAAAGCCATTGTTTAATATGTCAAAGTTTCCTTTTAGACAAATGGGGAGTCATTAAAGCTTTTTATGCAAGGAAGTAACACAAACAGTTCTGATTGTGATGTGAAAAGGTGCCCTCTAAAGTTGAGGACAAATAGTAGATTTGAAAACGATTTCTATTGTTAAAATATAATATCAGCTATCACTAATTGAATAACTTACCCTGTGCTGTGTACTTATACTATGCTAAGAACTTTGTGCATGTAAAGTCATGGGACTTTAAAGGGTAGAAATATTATAATCTCTTTTCTAAATATGAAGAAACCAAGATTTAAAGAACACAGAGTGGGGAAACAGAGAGATGTAGATAATTTGTGCCATTTAGATATGTTAAGCTTGAAGTGTTGGCTGAGTATTCCTGTAATGATGTTAAAGTTGGTAGTTTAAAATTTGGTTTTGGAATTCAGAAGATGAGTCAGAGTAGAGGACAAATACTTAGTCATTATCAGCGTAGAGGTGCTTTTGAAACCATAAGAATGGGTGGGCTTACTTGAGAAGGTAGTATAGAGACACTGAAGATAGAACCTCACTAAGTTGGCTAGACTTGAGTCTATGGAGATTGAGGACACTCTTGAAAATAGAGTGGTAGGCCAGGTGCGGTGGCTCATGCCTGTAATCCCAGCACTTTGGGAGGCTGAGGAGGGTGGATCACCTGAGGTCGGGAGTTTGAGACTAGCCTGACCAACATGGAGAAACCCTGTCTCTACTGAAAATACAAAATTAGCTGGGCAGGGTGGCACATGCCTGTAATCCCAGCTACTCGGGAGGCTGAAGCTGAGAATCACTTGAAACCGGGAGACGGAGGTTGCGATGAGTCGAGATCGTGCCGTTGCACTCCAGCCTGGGTAACAAGAGTGAAACTCCATCTCAAAAAAAAAAGAAAGTAGAGTGATAGAGAAAGTTGGAAGAATGAATTTTTTAAATGAGGGTGATAATAAATGTATGAGTCTGCGGCGAGGCAACAGAGATTGAAAACTGAAATGGAATTTGGTTGTTATTAACATTTTGAGGCTGGTTGTGGTAGCCCATGCTTGTAATACCAGCGCTTTGGGAGGCTGAGGCAGGCAGATTGCTTGAGTCCAGGAGTTCGAGACCAGCCTGGGCAACATGGTGAAACCCTGTCTCTACCAAAAATAAAAAAATTAGCCGGGCGTGGTGGCACACGCCTGTAGTCCCAGCTACTCAGGAGGCTGAGGTGGGAGGATGGTTTGAGCCTGGGAGGCAGAGGTTGCAGTGAGCCATGATTGTGCCACTGCGCTCCAGCCTGGGCGACAGAGCTAGACCCTGTCTCAAAAAGAAAAAGCAAAAAAAATATTTTTAGAGAATAGGCCAGGCGCAGTGGCTCACGCCTGTAATCCCAGCACTTTGAGAGGCTGAGGCGGGTAGATCACAAGGTCAGGAGATCAAGACCATCCTGGCTAACACGGTGAAACCCTGTCTCTACTAAAAAATACAAAAAATTGAGCCAGGAGAATGGCGTAAACCCGGGAGGCGGAGTTTGCAGTGAGCCGACATCGTGCCACTGCACTCCAGCCTGGGTGATACAGCGAGACTCCGTCTCAAAAAAAAAAAAAAAGAGAATAGCTTCAGTGAGGTGGTGGAACATAGATTACAACATATATATAGATGAGTCAAGGAGTTAGACTATTTTTTTGAGAAATGTATACAAGTATGTGTCTCAATTGATCAGTTAAAGTTCAGTTAAAGAACTTCTTTAATTGGACTTGTTGCCTTTTAACTTCAATTAAAGATCAGTTAAAAGTTCAGTTAAAATAAATGAGAGTTTAATTTTTTTCTTTTTTTTTAAAATTTTTGAGACTTGTTCTCAGTTGCTGGGCTGGAGTGCAAAGGCATGATCATGGCTTACTGCAGTCTCAACCGCCTGGGTTCAAGCAATCCTCTTGCCTCAGCCTCCCAAGTAGCTAGGACTATGAGCAAGAGCCACAACGCCCGGCTGTTAATTTATTTTTTATTTTTTGTAGAGACAGAGTCTTCCCTATGTTGCCCAGGCTGGTCTTGAACTCTTGGGCTCAAGCAGTCCTCCTGCCTTGGCTCCCAAAGTTTTGGGATTACAGGTGTGAGCCACTGAACCCAGCCTGAATTTTTTTTTTTTTTTTTTTTTTTTTGGAGACTGAGTCTCATTCTGTCAGCCAGGCTGGAATGCAGGGGCATGATCCTGTCTCACTGCAACCTCTGCCTTTCGGGTTCAAGCAATTATCATGCCTCAGCCTCCTCAGTAGCTGGGATTACAGGCACATGCAACTATGTCTGGCTGATTTTTGTATTTTTAGTAGAGACGGGGTTTTACCGTGTTGGCCAGGCTGGTCTCGAACACCTGATCTCAGGTGACCTGCCCACCTCGGCCTCCCAAAGTGTTGGGATTACAGGCGTGAGCCCTGAATTTTTTAATGCAAAATGGTTTTAGCTTTTTTATGGTCAAAGAGAAGGAACCATTGAAATATTAAAACCCGGCTGGGTGCTGTTTCCAGAGGTGCTGTTGTTTGGACTTAAGTATTATAATTTCTTTACTTCTCTTTATAGTTTTGCCACCTATGAAAATAGCCCTAAACAATAGTTTATTTTGAAAAAATAGTTTACCAAGCTAATTGAGTTAGGAAAGGACAATATTATCATAAACAGATGAAGGCTTCCAGGAGAAGATAGCTGAATAGTCTAGTGTCAGGTTCACTGAGTGTCATGAGCTTGTCTTCAGGTAATCAGTGAGCAATGCCATGAGTTTTTAGAAATGTAAGGCACATCCTGCTCTGGTATCTGGCAGTGCTACAGTATGGTATGGACTGGGTATTGCATATTTGTTCAGCAGGTGTATGGTCACATGAAGAGTGCTGTTTTGTATCTTTTATTTCTAAGCCCATGGTAATCTTCCTCCAACACGTTGTAGATCAAAGCAGAACACATCTGCGGGGTGAAATGTGTTCTTAGCTGATCCAGGCAGCAGGGCAGGTGGAGTGAGTAGGTACATCAAGGCAAGCCAAATATCAATAAAAATCTAGAACGGACATCTGGGCATTCTGTCCTTAAGAACAATGTCAATGGTTATCTTAGTGATGACAGATTCATCATGCTGTCTCAGGAGTCACGCTGCTACATTCTGGACTGGTTGCCCTTTAAATCTTGTGCATAGCTAGCATCCTGGAATCTCTCTTCACAGTCTTCCTGAAGATTCCCATTGTTTACCTCCTATGTTGATCTCTTGTATCCTGTATTTGCAATAGTTATCTTTTTAAAAAAATTCACTCTCTTATTGATGGGATACATTTTCCAGTATCTTGTTGAGAAAGGATGCATGAAAGGTAAATGTTTGAGATCTTTCATGTCTGAGAAGATATCTTTATTCTGCTTCTATAAGATGATTTGACTGGGTGAAGAATCCTAGATTGGAAATAATTTTTCTTCATAATTTTGAAGAAATTGCTCAACTGTCATCTTCCTTCTAGTATGACTGTTGAGAAAACTGAAGTCGATGTCCTGATTCTCTATAGTAATCTGTGTTTTTTTTTTCAAGAAGCTTGTAGAATCTTTTCTGTTCCCAATATGAGGATGTTTCACAGTGATATGCCTCAGTGTATGTGTTCCTTAATTTTTTTGCACTAGACATTTGGTGGGTCCTTTCAAATGGGTAGCTTATATCCTTCAGTCTTAGAAAATTTTATTGATTTACTTCTTTCTTGTTGATTTCTTTCCAAACCTTTTTTTTCCCCTTTTTATTTCTTGTTTTTTCCTTATGATTTATTTTTTTGGAACTCTGTTATTCAGATAGTGGACCTCCTGGAATGGTTGGTCATCTAATATTGCTATCTTTTCTCTCATATTTTCTATTGCTTTATCTTTTTTTCTCTGGTGCCTGGAGATTGCCTTAATTTTATCTTCCAATCCTTTATTCATTTCAGCTATTGTATCTTTAATTTCCAAGAATTCTTTGACTTGTATTTTAAAATGTTCTTTACTGAACTGTGATCTGTTCTTACTTTATAGTATCTTCTCTCTGTGTGGAATATGAGTATGTATAGGTACATTCTGTGTTAGAGGCTTTTCCTTGGATGCTCAGTAATATTTGGCTGTTTGCTCATGATTAAAAGTGATGGATTAAAAAGCTAGTTGGAAACTCCATTTTGGGTAGAGTATGATGCTAGCAGCTGTGCCTATTATGCCTCAAAGATGCTGCTGTTGTTCCCTCTCTGGAAAGTAGCCCATCTCCTGCCGAGGTGGAGGAGGTCTGGTTGCTTAGCATCACGAAGGAGAGAGAAGGTCGAGGAATCAAAGTGCGTGTAATTGGTGTTGCTTTCTGTAGATTCTCCACTGTCCAGTGTGTTGTTTCTCAGATTTTTTTTTTTTTTTTTTTTTTCTGCCAGACTGATTTGGCTTTGCTGGGTCTGCTAACCTACTCAATACTCATCCAGACACTTTCAGTCTTACAAGATTTTGTTGTTCTTATCTCTTCTTGTTTGTTGCTCTCACCTCTTGTCCTCGTGGGTTTAGGTATAAAATAGTCTTTTACTGTTGTTTTAGTCGGCTTTCATGATTAAGTGAAATTATATGCATGTTTTTAATCTGTCAACTTAATCCTAAAGCACAGATTATTTAAAATGTTTAATTCTATGTCTTACCTCTTGAAACTTGAAAGGATTATTAAAGTTAGCCCTTTTCATCTCTTGTTTTGGTTTTTACATTCATATTTATAATATTTGAAACTCATTATGTGGACTGCTCGAGACTGTATTAGTTCAAGGATTTATAAGTGAATCCAGAATTTGTAAATACAAAGGTTGATTGTTTTTTAAATTTGCTCTTATAGGAAAGTGAAAAGGTTTCTGAATATCCAGCAGTGATTGTGGAGCCAGTTCCAAGTGCCAGATTAGAGCAGGGCTATGCAGCCCAGGTTCTGGTTTATGATGATGAGACTTATATGATGCAAGATGTGGCAGAAGAACAAGAAGTTGAGACCGAGAATGTGGAAACAGGTAGACATCTCATAAAATGTTCATTATTTATAACTTTCTCATTTTGTAAGCTTCAACAATAATATTGCCAGATGAAAAATATACTGAAAAACCTTTTTAATGCTATTTAGTATAGCTTGGAAACCAGTGAAACATCTATGTTTGAGGGAATGTGTATAGATATAAAAGTTGTACAGTATAATTCTGTGAGGTATAGCAGTCTTATATCATGGACCCTATGCACAAAATTATAGCTTCACATAATGATAAAGTTATTTTATTATTTTTTTTCTGAGAGTGTAAATACTAGCTGTTATTTATACAAGTCAATAGGCTAGTATTATGAGGACAACTTTTTAAATTAAAAAAATAAATACAGTATTTTATCATTCTCTAATTGATTATAAGTTTCTTTGAGTTAATATTGATGGAGAAATATGATTTCTTTTCATTAATATCAGCATCTTTGTAGTGTTCTATCAGTTTCCTCTTTCCTTTTTGTCTTCTTAGAGATCTTATTATTTCAGTCTATTTCTGGTGCGATAGCTTATGTTTAACTGGAGATTAGTATCTATAATTCTTGGAGGAATCTTTTAGTTTTTGCCACTGATTATGAAGAAAATAGAGTATTTTATCAGAAGGACTGTAGTCACTCTTGTATAATAATAAACCTGCAAATGTATCCTTAGCTGTTAATGGAGAAAAAGAATCATTATACTTGTTGTTTAATCCTAGTAAAAATTCTTTACTATTTAGATACATTTTTATAAATGTAGGAAACTTTCATGATTAAAATTTTGAGTATGTGATGTATTTCTGCTTATGAGGTCCACTGGTACCCCTTAGGGCTACTAGCCTCTTCCAGCTTAAAACTGTTCTGCCTCTAATTGTAGTTTTTGTGGAGCTAAGGGATTGAAAGTTACCTTGCTTTTCAGAGCACTGATGATTGCAGTGCCAGCAAACAAACCCCAGGTGTAGTGGAAACTTCATTTATCAAAATAGGTAGCCAAGCTGGGTGTGGTGGTGTGCACCTGTACTCCCAGCTACTTGGAGACTGAGGCAGGTGGCTCACTCAAGGTCAGGAGCTCAAGTTCAGCCTGGGCAACATAGCAAGACCCCATTTCCAAACAAATAAAAGACCAGGCATCCAAGCACTTCATATGGGCTTCGTGACTGTAGTCTGGAGTGGTATCTGATTTACAGTACATAATACCTATCTTTTTATGAGAATTTGGAGAATTTTCCAGTCTGAAGCTAGAAGTATAGTGGCAGAGATGAATTTTCTTCTTGAGGAAAAGGATAGGTAGAACAGTTAAAAGTATTTTGTAGGATGATGTTTTGGATTATATATTGTAACTGATTTTATTACAAGAGCATAACTAAACAGAACACTAATAGCAGAAGAAAAAAGTATGGTAGCTTAAGTTAAATGGAAAAAAAGTAGAACCTGTTTGAAATTTCTGGATGATGTTTTGGTCAAAAAATAAGGAAACTATGATTTTGGTAGCAAATTGGAAACTTTAAAAAAGATCAAAACTATAGCACCAAATTTGCGTAAGTTAGTAAATTAGGATGTTTATCATATTAAAATACCAAAGCAGATTGGCTGAATCTTATTATTGGTATAATTGACTGTAAATGTTTTATTAATTTAGATTAATTCAGGTAAAACCAATTCAGAATAGGAAGCGAATGTAATCTACTTAAGGGATTTTATTTTCTCAGTCTTCTTAAGCTCTCAGGGTAATGATGTCATTGGCTGGGCAGAGATAATAGTGATTATGAAAAGGAGGATATGGGAAGTCTAGATAAAATAACAGTTACTTTTGTGATATGTTTTTTTTGTAAGTGGTTTTTGAATATTTGATAATAATTTTAAAATTTACTTCAACACAAAAAGAAAATGTAAGCAGATTACTGATGTCATTCTAAAATGGTATAAAAGCACCTCAGAAGTTCATTGTGCATGTTCCATCCTGGCTCATGGATTTTTTTTTTTTTTTTTTGAGACGTGGTCTTGCTCTGTCGCCAGGCTGGAGTGCAGTGGCGCAATCTCGGCTCACTTTAACCCCCACCTGCCGGGTTCAAATGATTCTCCTGCCTCAGCCTCCCCAGTAGCTGAGACTACAGGCACACGCCACGATGCCCAGCTAATTTTTGTATTTTTTAGTAGAGATGGAGTTTCACCATGTTGGCCAGGATGGTCTCGGTCTCTTGACTTCGTGATCTGCCCGCCTCGGCCTCTCAAAGTGCTGGGATTATAGGCACAAGCCACTGTGCCCAGCCTGGCTCATGAATTTTAATGTAACTTTATAAAGATTGTGTAATATTCATAGATTAGTTTTCAGATCAACTAATCTGAACTTAACATTCTTTCTATTAAGAATCAGGCTGAGCGTGGTGGCTCACGCCTGTAATCCCACCACTTTGGGAGGCTGAGGCGGGTGGATCACGAAGTCAGGAGATCGAGACCATCCTGCTAACATGGCGAAACCCCATCTCCACTAAAAATACAAAAAATTAGCTGGGCGTGGTGGCATGTGCCTGTAGTCCCAGATACTTGGGAGGCTAAGGCAGGAGACTCGCTTGAACCCAGAAGGTGGAGGTTGCGGTAAACCAAGATAGTGCCACTGCACTCCAGCCTGGGTGACACAGTGAGACTCTATCTCAAAAAACAAACAAACAAGAAAACTAAAAAAAGAATCAAATGCATTTTTAAATGAGTTAAAATCTGATAAAGTTTTCATTCTTCTGACATCTAGGGCGTATACAAATCAATAAAGGTTGGTATGCATATTTCCTTTTAGGTAGTGAATTAGGATTAGATTCATTTCTTATAAAATTGAAACTCAGATTACAGATACATATAGGTTTTAAAGAAGAAGCTGACTGGGAAGAAAAGGAATACTTATAAGATGGCAGATTTGATTTGGTGAATTGGGGGAATTGAGATCTCTATAGAATACTTCCCTGTGTATGTCTAGGAAAACTTCATGGAATGCTCCTACATTATAATTTAGATTATGTCAGTGTAAAAAATGTTATAATTATATTTATTGGCTTGTTCTGACAGTTCTCTGCATGTTCTCATTGAAGTGTTTTTTCCCTTTTATTCCTAAATACCCATATGTATGTGTCCATATCATAAACAGTGTTCTATTATCATTTGGGTTGGAGTACTAAAATCATATTATGATTTTCATGTAGCCATCTTTATTATTTTGTATATAAAAGAATTTCTCATTTTGTTAGTAGTGATTATGGGCTGTTTCTCCTTTTTGTAGACTAACAGTGTACGTTTCCCTCATAGAGCTTATGTGTAACACTAATGTTCTCTTAAATTGTATAGGAGAGGCCAGGCGCTGTGGCTCACGCCTGTAATCCCAGCACTTTGGGAGGCCGAGGTGGGCAGATCATGAGGTCAGGAGATCGAGACCATCCTGGCTAACATGGTGAAACCCCGTCTCTACTAAAAACACAAAAAATTAGCCGGGCGTGGTGGTCGTCCCAGCTACTCGGGAGGCTGAGGCAGGAGAATGGCGTGAACCCGGGAGGCGGAGCTTGCACTGAGCCGAGATCACGCCACTGCACTCCAGCCTGGGCGACAGAGCGAGACTCCGTCTCAAAAAAAAAAAAAAAAAATTGTATAGGAGAAACCAAATATATTTTGAAACTTTAAAAATAGGCATATTCATCTAAACATATAGTACATTGATTGTGATAACAATTGCAGATTAGTAATGATAAAGAGACTTTGAAGAAGAGTGATGAAATATAAGTGAAGGATGGTCTTGATTCTGGCAGGTATAAAATATATTCCCCAGTGGCTGCAGACTCCATCAGTTCTAGGGGCCTGCTGGATAGATTGGTATGGTGAATAAGGGGAGGGAAGGAGTTTTTTGGATTCCCTGCAGGGGTTTGTAAGTGTTGATAGAAATCAGTTGATAGAAATCTTCTAAGAACGGACTAGGCTGGGCATGGTGGCTCATGCCTGTAATCCCAGCACTTTCGGAGGCTGAGGCGGGTGAATCACGAGGTCAGGAGTTCAAGACCAGCCTCACCAACATGGTAAAACCCTATCTCTACTAAAAACACAAAAAATTAGCCGGGCGTGGTGGTCGTCCCAGCTACTCGGGAGGCTGAGGCAGGAGAATGGCGTGAACCCGGGAGGCGGAGCTTGCACTGAGCCGAGATCACGCCACTGCACTCCAGCCTGGGCGACAGAGCGAGACTCCGTCTCAAAAAAAAAAAAAAAAAAAAAAAAAGACTGGACTAAGGTGACTGAGCTGTTTAGGATTTACCCCTTCATTTTTCACCTTAACAAATACTTGTTACTCTATTTATCCCCTTAACTTTCCAGTTTAGTTTGTGAGAGCAGGTTATGTCTGCATTTGTTATGTGCAAGGTACTGTTTTCAGCATGTTTCTTTTCAGGGGTGATTTAGTTGTAGAGATAAAAATCTATGTTATATTTAAAATACAAAACAGTCAAGAGTCAAATGAGCGTTGTTTACAAATTCAAAGAAATTTTCAGAAGAGGAAAGTTCAATTTACAGGATTAGGGAATTTTTTAGAGAAAGTAAAGGACACATGATAGGATTTAGGTGGACAAATAGGAGGTAGGTGAAATGCACTGTAAACTGAGGGAAATATAATTAATAAATGAGTAGACTATTGAAATTAAATGCTTGTTCAGAAGATCTTGAGTAAATAAGACATTGGCACGAGATTTCATTAAGAGCTATGACTAGATCGTGAATTAAATCTCAACAGTTAGTAATTAGGCATATAAGGAAGCAGAAAGACTTGGAAGGTTTTAAGTAGGAAATACTAGGGGGCCAGTACTTTGGGAGGCAGAGGCAGAGGTGGGAGGATCTCTTCAGGCCAGGAATTCAAGACGAGCCTGGACAACACAGTGAGACTCCATCTCTTAAAAAAAAGTTTAAAAAGTGGCCAGGTATGGTGGCGTGCACCTGTAGTCCTGGCTACTTGAGAGACTGAGGCCAGAGAATCCTTTGAGATTAGGTGTTTGAGGTTACAGTGAGCTATGATCGTAGTACCACTGTGCTCCAGCCTGAGTGGCAGAGTGAGCCATGTCTCTAAAAAGAAAGTACCATGCAATTTTAGTATTTCAGTTGGATATAGGATTAATTGTAGGGGGAAAGATGAGACAGGAAGACTAGCTGTTGTAGTATGAGTTGAAGGATGACTTGAGAAATATTAAAACGAGGTAGTAGCAACAGGAACAGAAAGGGCTTGTATAAACTATACTACTATATATGATCTTATGTGACATATAAGGGGGAGAGGCACAGTTAGGTAAAGTATTCTGCTTTTTGACCCTTAGTGATGGTGATAATAGCACATATGATTTGAGGAAGGCAAGATTGGTGAAGCAGATAAGTTTGGTAATAGTCATGATGATTTTGAGTTGAAGCAGAACATTTGAGGATGAATATTTAGGTATTTAAAGATGCACAAATGTGGTCGAGTGCAGTGGCTCATGCCTGTAATCCCAGCACTTTGGGAGGTCAAGGCAGGCGGATCACTTAAAGTCAGAAGTTCAAGAGCAGCCTGGCCAACATGGTGAAACCCCATCTCTACTAAAAATACAAAAATTAGCTGGGTGTGGTGGTACACACCTGTAATCCCAACTACTCAGGAGGCTGAGGCAAGAGAATTGCCTGAACCGGGAGGCAGAGGTTGCAGTGAGCTGAGATCATGTCACTGCACTCAAGCCTGGGCGATAGAAACTCCATCTCAAAAACAATCAAACAAAAAAGACGCATAAATGTGTAGTCAAAGTCCCATCGCAAAAGAGATGGCATGCTCAAATTAGGATAATTTAAGGAATGTTTTAATAAAGGACTAGTTACAAACAGGCAAATATAAGGTAACCATAAGAGACAGTGCAGTACTGCAGACCAGGCAATAACTGCTGTTTCTGTCCTTTGGCTTATGGGCCAAGGGGAAGGAAGGGTTACCAGAATCCTGAAGAATAGGGCCCTGAACAGGGAGTCACCTTGGGAGATTCTGGAACCTTTGATCAAAGGACACAGCTAGCTGGAGGGCAATGCCTCTTCCAAATAATATCCTGCTAAGGTGCTCCATTGACTAAACCCAGTCTGAAGCCATGAGAGTCCTGCTGATGAAGTCAGTCTCCAGGGACAGAGAGCAAGGTGAAGAAGGGTGGAGAATAAATCTGGAGGAGCAAATGGAAGATATCTAGTACAACTGAAGCTTAGTAAAGAAAGGTCAGGGAGAAACTGATCTGGGAATCATCTTCATTTAAAGGTGCGGAAATAAATTAAATTTCCAAGAGGAAACGTATTTCAGAGATTTTTCCCAAGGAAGAAGATATGTAAATTCTATGTTTGTCTCTCTGTGATAGAGAACAAAGGACGTAGAATTAAGGAATTAACCTTAGAGAATGTTTGCATTTTAAAGAGTGCAGAAGAATGAGAGTAGTCAAATATGATAGAAAATCCTGGCCGGGCGCGGTGGCTCAAGCCTGTAATCCTAGCACTTTGGGAGGCCGAGACGGGCGGATCACGAGGTCAGGAGATCGAGACCATCCTGGCTAACCTGGTGAAACCCCGTCTCTACTAAAAAACACAAAAAACTAGCCGGGCGAGGTGGCGGGCGCCTGTAGTCCCAGCTACTCGGGAGGCTGAGGCAGGAGAATGGCGTGAACCTGGGAGGCGGAGCTTGCAGTGAGCTGAGATCCGGCCACTGCACTCCAGCCTGGGCGACAGAGCGAAACCCAGCCCAAAAAAAAAAAAGAAAATCCTGGGTGGACTATTTCTGAGTTTGTTTTTTCCCTGTAAGTGGCTCTCTTTTGTAGGAAAGGGAAGAGTATTGACTTGGGTTAGTTAGTTCTGATTTAAAATTTCCCCTTTATCACTTACTTGGCAGTATTTAACCTTTTCAGAGTGTTTCATTGTCAGAAAATAGGAATTCAGGGTTGTGAAGATTACATAAAATAAATACATAAAGCACAGTGCTTGTAACAGAGTTTCTTTAATTTCATTAGCACCTTCCCTGTGACTTCAAGTATGGACAGGACTTTTATACATTAGAATGGAATATTGGTTTAACTTTGTTTATGTCTCTTGTGTTTTTCTCCTTCCTTTTGCTTCCACTTTAAAAAAAACAAAAACAAATGTTTTATACCTTCAGTTTATACTTTTTCCTTGTCATTCCTTCCTTGATTATTGTGCTCTGGCATCTCCATTTATCATTCTACTGAAGCTCTTTATCAGATTTCAGTGACCACTCTTCTGTCAAATTCAGTGACCCATAGAATCATCCAGAAGTAATCCTTCATAATCTTGCCTTCTTATCTGCTGAAACATTGTATTCTCCTAGTTATTTTTCTTACTGACCTTTGCATGGATTGTATTATTTATGCTTCTGAGTGTTTGCTCAAAGACAGTTTCCTTCTATCTATAATGTGCTCAGGTAGGTATTAGCCATCCTTTAAGGCCCAACTACATGAAGATTTCCACAATGATTGTGGTCTACATTAAACATTCCCTTACCTGATCTGTTATACCATCTGGATTTAGGTACTGTCTTGTATTCTTTTATTATTTTTATCTATTATTGCTTATATTATTTTTGTTGTATATACTATACTCCTGTTGTTTTCCCAGTGAGTGTGTAAGCACCTTGAAGACGGAGACCATACTTTTTTCTTTTGTTGAATATACTGTTGAACATATAATAACTAGCTGGAAAATACAAATGGAAACAGATTGAGTTCTGAGTTAGTATTGTAGTATAATCAAGAACCATCTGTGTAAAGTCAGACTTAAATTTCATTTTAAAAATCACAGTTCGTGTTCATCATTCTTGCTTATATCTAATAATTTGGATTTTTTTTTTTTTTTTTTTGAGGTGGAGTCTCACTGTGTCACCCAGGCTGGAGTGCAGTGGTGTGATCTCGGCTCACTGTAACCTCTGCCTCCTGGGTTCAAGCAATTCTCCTGTCTCAGCCTCCCAAGTGGCTGGGACTACAGGTGTGTGCCACTATGCCCAGATAATTTTTTTATTTTTAGTAGAGACGGGGTTTTACCATGTTGGTTGGCCAGGATGGTCTTGATCTCTTGACCTTGTGATCCGCCCGCCTCGGCCTCCCAAAGTGCTGGGATTACAGCCACCGCGCCCGGCCTTTGAATTTTTTTTTTTTGAGACAGAGTCTCGCTCTCTCACCCAAGCTGGAGTGCAGTGGCGTGATCTCTGCTCACTGCAACCTCTGCCTCTTGGGTTCAAGCAATTCTCATGCCTCAGTCTCCTCAGTTGCTGGAATTACAGGCACTCGCCACCATGTCTGGCTAATTTTTGTATTTTTGGTAGAGATGGGGTTTCTCCTTGTTGTACAGGCTGATCTCGAACTCCTGACCTCATGCGATCTGCCCACTTCAGCCTCCCAAAGTGCTGGGATTACAGGCCTGATTTTTTTCTTAAAAGCAATATATGCTTAATGGAAAAAACTGGAAAGTATTGCAAAGAATAAACAAACTGAAAATCATCACCCCTAATCTTACCAACAAGGAGACGATGATTGTTGCTTTTTTTAAAAACATTTCCTTTTAGTCTTTTTTTAAAATATGCATTTTAATCATAATTAATATTATATAATACAAGCTTCCTGCTTCTGTCTTCTGACCACTTGGGGCAGGACTTTGCTCCTTAACCACGTATCAAGACATTAACGTTTAGTCTTATTAGTTAATTATCAAGAAACCTTAAACCATTTTTAGTGATCAACAAAATTGTGTTTACACATTAGTTGAAAAGATAGATGATGATGAGAATTTTTACATAATTCAACAGGAAAGCAGTGCTTTTTAAGTAAAAATGAAAGTTTAGGTTTTTAAAATGCAGTTTAAAAAATAAAACCAGATTTCCTTCATGAAAAATAAGATAAGGAGCCAAATTTCTTTCTTGAAGAATCTCAGGACTAATTTGACTTCATGATGAGCTGTCATAACTTTTGTATTTGTTATACCATCAGAAATCCTCCCTGTGGCACAAAAGGACTCCTTTAATTAGAAAATATTGTTGCCACAGGGAGGTAGAAGATCGACATGAAAAACTGGGGATCTGAAAAGGAGCCCCTATCCTAGGATTACCTGAAGGTGAAACAGATTGAGCCAGAAGGAAGACAATGCTGGTAGGTTGGTTTTTAATTTATTAAAAATGTTTATACTTTTATATTTCATTAAAATTATTTCATCTACCTTTACCATATTTTTGTTTAAAGGGTGACAATGATTCCTCCTTAAGGAAGGAGAAGTAATACGATAATTTTTTTCCTTCAAGATAGTTTGCTGAGTTATCCCTTATCATGTTCTTAATATTTGTTTCTTTTTATAGATGAAGCTCTGGGGCTATTTCATGCCTCTACTTCCTTGGAAGCTACTATTGACTGAATGTCTTTAAGTCATTTTTTTTTTTTTGTCATTTCTATTATTTTTGCTTCTAATTTACATCTTTTCTTAGATTTTTAAAAAGTGTTTTTCCCCCAATTATTTATTTTCTTCAGGTTAGCCTAGCCCTAAGTTTTCTAAAATGGTAAAATGTGAATCTTAAGTTCATTTAGTTTTTACTCTAGAATTGTTTGAATTGTAATTGTACTGTGATTTAGATCAGGCAGTATTATTAGATAAATTTTTTTAATACTTTAATAACTATCAGCCAGGTATAGTGGCTCAAGTCTGTAATGCCATCACTTTGGGAGGCCTAGGTCAGGAGTTCAAGATCAGCCTGGCCAACTTGGTGAAACCCCATCTCTACTAAAAAATACAAGAAATTACCTGGGCGTGGTGGTTGGACGCCTGTAGTCCCAGCAACTGGGGAGGCTGAGGCAAGAGAATTGCTTGAACCCAGGAGGCGGAGGTTGCAGTGAACTGAGATGGCACCACTGCACTCCAACCTGGACAACAGAGACAGACTCCGTCTCAAAAAACAAAACAAAACAAAAACAACAACAAAACTTTTTCATTTAGCCTGAGATGCTATCAATTGTAATAAACACTTTTATACCACTAAAGGAAAAAATGCTGCCAAATATAAACTTTCTAAGGGACTATCAACTTTAAGATAGGTACTGATTTCAGAGATGTCAAATGTGAAAAATGTGTATCTTAGGATTAATGAAATATGATTTGCAATTATGAATCTTTCCTGAAACTCTCATTTACTGGGAATTAAACATTAAAATATGAGGCCTATGAAAAATGGGGGTGAGTTGTGGTATGGAAATCCATATGAGTGCTGAGTATGCTCTCTAAATTTTTTTTTTTTTTTTCTTTGAGACCGAAGTCTCGCTCTGTTGCCAGACTGGAGTACAGTGGCGCGATCTCAGCTCACTGCAACCTCCTGGGTTCAAGCAATTCTCCTGCCTCAACCTCCTGAGTAGCAGAGATTGCAGGCGTGCACCAACATACCCAGCTAATTTTTGTATTTCTAGTAGAGACAGGGTTTCACCATGTTGGCCAGGATGGTCTCCATCTTCTGATCTCATGATCTGCCTGCCTTGGCCTCCCAAAATGCTGGGATTACAGGCATGAGCAACCATGCCCAGCCTCTAAATTCTTTAATGTCTTTTAAGAGAGGATATTTAAATAAAAAAATCATATAACCATATTGTTTAAAATTATACAAAATAACCATAAGTTGTCAGATTATGGAGTATATAGAAAAAGAAAATCTTTTTTTAATATGACATATTTACTTCAATAGATTGTTATCCTAATTGAATATCACTTAATTAGTAGAACTTTGAGATCTAAAAAGAAAATGAAATGAAGCTTCTGCTTTTTAAACTGTCATTTAAAAACAGGATCCTTTAAGGGCTCGTTAAAATAGCATGATTTTTAGTACACTTGAATGTATGTTTTACAGATTATTAATTATGTGAAGGAGAAAATAGTGGCCAAAAGCAAAGACCTACTCTGTCAATTAATAAAGCAGAAATGAAAAGGAATTATTTTATTTACTTTTAATTTTTGTTTTGTTTTGTTTTGAGACATGGTCTTTCTCTGTTACCCAGGCTGGAGTGTAGTGGGGCAATCTTGGCTCACTGCAACGTCTGCCTCCCGGGTTCAAGCAATTCTCCTGCCTCAGCCTCCTGAGTAGCTGGGATTACAGGTGTCCACCACCATGCCCGGCTGATTTTTGTATTTTTAGTAGAGACAGAGTTTCACCATGTTGGCCAGGCTGGTCTCAAACTCCTGACGTCAAGTGATCCGATCGGTCCTCCTTGGTCTCCCAAGGTACTGGTATTATAGGCATGAGCCATTGTGCTCTGCCAATTTTTTTTTTTTTTTTTTTTGAGACAGGGTCTCTGTCACCAAGACTGGAGTGCAGTGGCACGATCTTGGTTCATTGCAAACTGTGCTTCCCAGGTTCAAGTGATTCTTCTGCCTCAGCCTCCCGAGTAGCTGGAATTACAGGCACCCACTACCATGCCCTCCTAGAGTGCTGGGATTATAGGCGTGAGCCCCTGCACCCAGCCAATTTTTTTTTTTTTTTTTGGAGACAGGGTCTCTCTTTGTCACCCAGGCTGGAGTGCAGTGGTATGATCATGGCTCACTGGAGCCTTGACCGTCCCAGCTCTAGTGCTCCTCCCACTTTAGCCTCCCTAGTAGCTGGGACTACAGGCAAACGCCACGACACTCAGCTAACTTTTTTATTATTTGCAGAGATAAGATCTCAGTATGTTGCCCAGGCTGGTCTCATACTACTGGGCTCAAGCAATTCTCCCCCCTTGACCTCCCACAATGCTGGGATTATAGGCATGAGCCACCCTGCCTGGATGAAAATAAATGATTTTAAATGATGTTTGTATATCAAGAAACATCTGTTTTATGTAAAAGGAAAGAAAAGTATATCTAGACGATAGATCATTAAAAGATATTTGTTTGATTTTGGAAACTAGTAGCCATTCATTCCTTTGTATTTAGAGAGACTTTAAAAAGTTTTTTAATTTATCTTTTTTGAGACGGAGTTTTGTTCTGTCACTCAGGCTGGAGTGCAGTGGTGCGATTCCAGCTCTCTGAAACCTCCACCTCCTGGTTCAGGCGATTCAGAGAGACTTTTTAAAGAAACATTAGTTAACTTTTAACTTTGCTATACAATAGTGTATCTAAATAATATAATTTTATTAATTCAGACTGAGGAGAAGGCTAAATCTGGATTACATAGAATTTTAAATGAGTAGCAAACAAGGTTACAAGTGTTGCCAAGCAGAGATAGATTTTAAGATTTTCTTAGATGTACAAATAGGAATGCTTTAACACATATCTCTAGGCAAATCCATACATCCATTCAGCCATCTGTCAGTGCTTACTGAGGACCTGCAGTGTCCCAGCCTCAGAGCTGAATATCTTGTGGTAAACAAGACCCTCTCTTTGCCCTCACCAGGCTTTCAGCTATGTATAGAAGATGAACAATTTATTAAACATGTTATTATGATAAAATGTGATGAGAATTATGATAGGATTAATTCAAAGTTTATGGGAGTAAACAGCAGGAGAATGCCTTCCTGAGGATGTGACATCTGAAGTAATTATCCAGGCGGAGAATAGCGAGGTTGAAAGTCTGGAGGAAGAAAAACAAGGCTTATTTGAGTTGCTGAAAGAGATTCAATAGGGTTAGAGTATGAATTATGAGAAGGAAAGGGGATTAAAATGAGATATAAGAGGCGAAAAAGAAAAAAATCTTATTGCTGAGGGCTTTTAAAGCTTTTTATCTGTTTCTTGGATCATATAAGTCTAAAGGGCAGTGAGGAGCCTTTTAAAAGTTTTGAGCAGTTTTGAAAAATACAAATTTAGTTTTTTTCAAAATAGTAAGTGCTGTAAATGGAAAAAGGAATAGGACAGTCAAAGAATTACTTGAAGTCTGAACTCGTTGGTTTCACATTCATAGCTCCCTGATATCTAGCTAACTGTTCTTATTCATCTTCTACTAAGTTGGCTACCTCTCCAGATTTGGGGTATAAGTATGTTCATTGCCTACACTAAGCTAAAAGTAGTAGAGATTAAGATAGTTGCTCAGCCAGCCTTTCTTTTTGGAGTTAACAAGGTAGGTGCTTTGTACAGTGCTGTTTCAGGAGGAGGAATCATTGTCCCTTATCCATTGTCCATGCCCATTTGTGTAAACTTGTGGGTTTTTCCAGGACCTGGGCAAGACTCCAAACAGCAAGTCCTGATTGAATGCCATGCCTATTTGTTGAATTTGTTAGGTATTTATCTAGGCTGGTGGTCTTTAAGTCAATTGTGTAATAGGAATATTACTTTATATTGAGACCTTGTCTGTATGGCGGGGAGGGGAGGAAAAAGGCTTGTATGGTGGCATGGACCTGTAGTCCCAGCTACTCCTTGCAGTCCCAGGAGTTCAAGGCTGCATTGAGCTGTGATGGCTCCACTGCTCTAGCCTGGGCAAACAAGCAAGACCCTGTCTCAAAAAAAAAAAAAAAAAAAGTATATTATTTTGATCATTTGTACTAGACAGCATAAGTTAATATATTTCTTTTGGTCTTGATGTCTTTGAGGACTAACTTATAAGTAAAAGTTATCTTGAAACTCTTTGTGTGTTTTCAGCACTGCATACAAACAACTGCTGGTTTTTATTTCCACTGGCATCATCGACAGTGTTCTAGGCTTCAGGTGTCGTAATAGATACCATAAAGAGAAGTATATACAGAAGAGCTATGATTTGAGCCTTTACAACTACATATATATTAAAGGGCTTTATAATGGATTTTTTCTTTTTAAAAAATGTAATACACAATATTTAGAATATTAAACTGAAAAATTAAACTAATATTAATTATAAATTAACAAAATATTGGCAGCAGTGTTAATTTAAATACATCTTATTTTCCCCTTTCCTTCTTCCTTAAGATAATTACTATCCTGTTTATTAATGATATAATGGAATATTTACAATAGAAGTATGGAATATTCCAGATATGTGTGCTTTTTAATTGCCAAAAAGAAGTGACCTTTTAGTTTAACAACAATTTATTTTGGAGTAGGTTGGCCTATTAATGACAAGTTCTCATTTTTATGGGGATTTAGATAAAGATTCAAATCATAGCTCCTAAGCAGTGCAGTTATTTAAGATGGAATGAGAGGTTTTGAGTATCTTTACAACTGGAGATTTTAA